ACTGCTCGGCAGTCGGCCCGAATCTCGGGGGCTACACCCAACGGGGTGCACTGACTCGCCCCCGTGAGAAGAAGGGCGGAACGCTTACTTCGGCTCTCGTTCAAGTCGCTGGTCCGCTTGGCCAGCTCCTTGACAGCAGCCGACCCAGAACTCGGGGGCTACACCCAGTGGGTGCACTGGCGCGCCCCCACAGAAGATTTTGAGAAGATAAAGACAAAAAGCAAGTGCGTACCCGAACGACCGCTCACGACGCCAGGAACTCCTGCACGCACTTCTGGAGGGCGGCGCCTTGGGCGGCAAGCTGGGTCTGGACGTCCTGCACCGACACGTTTAGGACGCCGCCACCACCACCAGATGCCCAGTCCGCTGTGTTGGCACTAGTGGCCTCAACATCGGGCATCGCCGAGCTGGAGGCTCCGACCTCCATCAGCTGCGGCACCGAGCTCGCCTTCTCCTGGCGCCGGCGCGCCGGGATGCGGACCGTGGGAAGCGGCCCCATCGTCAGCTGGCCGTCAGACGGCGCCGCCTGTGGCCCCTTGGGCTGGCCGACCTGCGTATCGGCAGTTGGCGGGGGTGAAACCACCTCTTCCCCAAGCCCGGGTACGCCTTCTTCCCTCTCCATGGGCGGCTGGACAATGCCGGATCCGCCAGCCGGCTTCGGGGCCTCCGGCACAGGCGGATCCGGGTGCTGCGAGTCAACGGGCCCGGAGGCCTGACCGCGAGACGCATCCGCCTCCTGCGCCCTGGTGGCTGCTTCCTCCTGCTCCTTGTTCGCTGCCTCGGCATGCGCCTTGGCCGCAGCATCGGCCTCCGCTTGCGCCGCCCTGGCCGCCTCCTCCCGCTCCTCGCGCGTCTTCCGCGCGTTCCCCTCCGTGGCCTCTTGGAGGTAGGCAAGCGGGTCCACACGGCAGGGGGTAGCATGGTTATCGGCCGCCCCAACCACCGAAGCTGCCAGGGCTCGCGAGAGGGACAGTGGGGCCCTGTTCAAGCAAGCAGGAAGGAGCATTGAAGAAAAAGCAAAGAAGAAACAAACAAAAAGCAACAGAAGGAGAATCAAAAGTACTTACGCAGACACCACCGGGCGCGGCTTCGACACCCTCTAGTACTGGGTTGCCCTCGCAGCAGCCTCCTGCCGCTTGGTCACGACGGCCGAGGTCTTCGGCTTCTTGGACCGGCTGCCGTAGAGCCCGCCCTCAGCCTGGCATTTCGGCGCGCCGGCTGCCGCGGTTGGCGCGGCCGAAGAGCCGGCGGCCATCCTGTCGGTGTGGTGGCCGCAGTGCGGTTTGCGGTCTTTCGCGTCGTCGTCCGGACACTCCCCCAGGCTGCCTCTAGGGAAGCCGCCTGCTTCCCCTCCGTCGCCGCATGTGGCGTCATCCTCCTCCATGGCGGCTGCCCCCAAGTCGGGCTCGCCCTTGTCGCTCACCGACCGGTCCGGCAGGAACTCCTTGCCCGGAGCCAGTTGGATGGCCGTCTGGCCCGGGAAGTACTGCAGTAAGGCCGACTGCTCAGGCGGCAGGAAGAACTCGGACCAACAAAAGAGAAAAAGAAAGAGAAGTAAAGGACTTACTGTAGGCGGCGGGTTGGCCCGATTGTACGGCGGCTTGCTGAATTGCCACTCCGACTCGACAACTTGCAGTCGGAGATGTGGTTCATCAGCCAGACGATCTCCGAGACCGGCATCTCCTTGGTGGACATCTGGGACAGATCCCGGTGCCCACTCATGGCGCTGATGATGTGGGGCCGACCTTGAAGAGGCAGCACCCGGCGCTCCATGAAGGCAGCCAGCAAGTTAGAGGGCTTGAGGCGCTCCGAGTCGATCATCACCTGAAGCCGAGCGAGGGCGCTGGCGGAGGGGATCGATAGAGTTTTTGGCCGGAAGCTCCAGTTGGCGCGGGGCTCGGCAGGCGGGCCGGCTGCATAAGCCGGCAAGTTAACATAGTTCCGCGCCAAGTTGAGGTTCTTGACGTAGAAGTACGACCGCTGCCACAGTTTGGCCGACTGTAGCAGGGCGATGACCGGGAAGCGAGGCCCGCCCCCGGTCCCGGTGCGCCGCACTGCGCCGCCTCGCCCTTGGTGGCGGTGCCGAGCTTGAGGTAGAAGAGCTCTGCCCACAGCTCGAGTGTGGGCAGAGTGCCGAGGTAGCCTTCACAGAGCGTGACGAAGGCGGAGAGCGGCACCACCGTGTTCGGCGTAAGGTGTTGGGGCTGCACTCCGTAGAAATCCATTAGCGAGTGGAGGAACCCACTCGCTAGAAGGCCGAAGCCGCGAAGAAAATGCGCCCGAAAGACGACATATTCGCCGTCCTTCGGCGCCAGAGAGATCTCCCTGGCAGGGGGGAGACGCACCTTGACGTCGGTGTGGTGAGGAAGGCGTCACGTCTCGCGGAGGAACTGGATGTGATCCTTGTGGACGGTGGAGCCGTCCCAGTCACCGACGCGGCCGCTGAGCGCCATGGGCTTCGTGCTCGGCAGTGGCGCGAGGCGGCAGCGACGAAGAAAGGGCCGGCGACGACGAGTTGCGGTGGCACTCTGGTAAGGGAAGAAATCGCAGCGGCGGCGAGGAAGAAGAAGCAAGACAGAGGGAGAGGAGGGCGCGCGCTGCGTTCTGCCGCCCCCTCCTCCCCCTACTTATAGCCTCGCGGCGGCGGAGCCGAGGGGGCGAGGTGTGGGGGAGCGTGGGATTAACTGCCCCACTCCCCCCACGACCCCTCAACTTCCACGCGTTAAAGGCATGCGTTAAACCGACCTGGGAAGGTTAACCGACCACCCCGGCCGCAGCGGATCCATGCGTGTGCCGAGGCCCTCTAGTGGCGGCCCGGGCCTGCGGCGACGTCCCGTCGCGCGCGTGGGCTGGCAGGATGACCTGGCCGCCAGGCGCCGCGTGGTGGGCAGGCAGCAAGCGGTGAGCCTGTCGCACAGCCTGCACGCCACGTGGCCCCCACCACGACTATTCGAATTCCGCCAGGTGGCCGCGGCTTCGTCCGGCTCCTGGCGCCCGACTCCTCCTAGACGGGCGGAGCAGAAGGCAGAAGGCCACTCAAAGAGGGAAACTGTGAGGCTCTTCGGCTACCCAAGCCGTAGAACCTCACCAGCTTCGGGGACTACTAACGAGGGGACAGACCCCGGGTAGCCTCATCCACACGAGAGCAGATTTCAAGACACCGAGGCTAGCCTAGCCCCTCAGTCCGACTGGTCGCAAGGCCGGCCTCCATGGCCGGCTGGAGCCAACAGGCCGCCTCCGAGAAGGCAGCGCGCCTCAAAAGGCGGCGAGGGCATGGGCCGACTCCTGGCAGGCGGCCCATCGCCACCTCAAAGTCCGCACCCACCCGCTATAACAAGACAGGGCGTGGCAACAGTGCCACCTGCCACCCCCGAAACCCGAAAGGAACGTGGCTACAATGCAAATGTACCAGGCGGACACCCTTCGCCTGGCACGACATTGTAGCCACGTGGCCCATGAAGATGCCTACGTCAGGCAAGGCCATGCCCCCATGACGGGCGATCGGTGTGGCCCGCAGGCGGCGAGCCCCACCAGCCCGCGTATCCCAGAAGACGGCAAGGCCAGAGCAGGCGGCCTCAAGGGAAGGTCGGCTCCTAGCAGGCGGTCTCCCATCCCCTTGGAGTCTGTGCGCCATTAACCAGAGGTGACGGGGTGTGGCTACAGTGATCGCCCGCCAGGCGGCGACACTGTAGCATGCGCCCCCCGACCGAGCCATCGTCATCAGGGGGAATGCTACAGTGCGGCCTGGTCCCCCTGGCATGCAAGCGGCAGGCCCTACCTGTCGGCCGAGTTCACGGCAGCCGGCGGGACCCACCAGGCGACGGGCCCCAGCAGCCGGTGGAGAAGCCGAAGCCCAGAGACACTGACGGCCGGGTCCCAGGACCAGCCAGATTACCATTGTACCCCTGGGGGGTAGGCCTACATAAACCCCCCAGGGTCACCCATGCAAAGGGTTCAGCCCATTAGATCATCACACACCCACATAGCTAGGGAGAAGTAGTGCAAGCAGCCTTCTTCCTCCTCTAGCCCGAACAGCTCAAGGAGCACCCTTGTACTTGCTATTGATCATAATGATGCAGAGACCCCGCAGAGCAGGATTAAGGGTGTTATCTCCACGGAGAGCCCCAAACTTCGGTAAGACCCAACATCGTTTGCGGTCTTGCCTACTCCCGCTTTTAGAGCCCGGCAGCGTTCTATTGACCCCTTACATGATTAACCACCCGTTGGTATATGTCGAGGAAATACCACGACATAGGCTCACCCGCAAATAAAATAAAATTAGAGGTAGGCTACGTTTATTTACCATGATAGCATTATCTGTATGCATATGGCAAATCACCTCAGTGACAGACGGTGGTTATACAATACTCCCTTTGTCCCGTAATATAAGAGCGTTTTGACACTAGTGTAGTGTCAAAAACACTCTTATATTATGGGACAGGGGGAATACTAATCAAACATAAGCTAGCCCGGCCGAATGACAATGCTACGATGATCTCTTGCTCGAACACAACATGTTTTCTGGACTGCAAATCTGATATGCCTTCCTTTCAAAATTTACGATGCCTTTATAGGTTGCAAGTTCCAGCTAGAAGTTAAAGGCCATCTACTGTGTTAGGGAACCTCATGAAAATGATGCACTCCTCATCACCAAAGGAAAAATAATACTCATGGCTTCGCTTCCTGACACGCTCGCTGCTCATGAGCATTCCAACTCCATGCCCAGACCTCAAGGCAGAGAGGGAAAAGAGTGGCATTCATCGCAGTCGGAAAATCCAAATTTTCCTGTTGCACCACCCGAAACAACATCATCAGTATCCAGCAGTAACCAAGCAGCAAAGAGTGGACACGATTCCGCACACAACTGGAGAACCTGAAGATCAACCTGGCAACTTTCTCGGCCCTGAGAAGCGGCACAGAAGCAGACATCCTGATGCAGCCAGTCGGAGCTTTACAGGACAGAACAGGCGAAAGCTAAAAACCATTCCTGCAGTTGTCTATCAGGGCAAACTAGGAAGTGTAACTTTATCGAAGGAGAGGAAGCTGACACGCCCATTATCAACTTGACAGAATTTAAGAGGGATGCCGCCAAACTTATTCTCCACCGTTTCAAGTTCATCCCTTGGAGGTGGCTTGTCTCTGCGCCAAATCCAACAACAAAAAAGGTTATGGCCGGAAATACCGATCGGCAGGTTGTATGAAATAAACTAAAAATTGGTAAGCCCAGATTCATATATTGTGATCCTTTTTGTATCTTCTTACATAATACTTCTAGAGCTTCTACTTAAGTTCTTCTGTTCTGCTATTTATGGCTTTATGCATCTCATTGCTACCTAATGTTGCTTAGAATCGGGTTTATAGTCGGCCAAGAAAAGAACTTGTGACAAGTCACAACTGATGGACGCATAATAAGCATATAAATATAGGAATCAATGTTTGATTGCAAGACAGAGTTCAGCTGACTATAACTATGCTTAGTAACCAAAAAAAAAATCTATCACCTTTCATATTAGGCTTACTAGACTTAAATTACTTGCATTTATATAGCTCAGGCATGATAACCACTCAGGTACAGTAGAACAGATAAACTAAATCTATGTTCACAGAAAGACAGTTAACAACATAGAAAGAATATCCATGTGCAAAGAGAGCCAATATCACATCACAGGCACATCCTGCATGCCTAAATATACCGAAGTTTCATAACATAAAACTGAAAGGGAAAATCATACATTAAGCGCGTGTGTGAAGAGATAATAAGGGAATGGATTGCTGTAAACGAAAATGTCGCACAAGTTTAAAAGCATGGATCCACGATCTGCAAGTGGCAGGAAGAGTAACATTACCTTAACAGACATACAAGAAAACTAGGGACTCCTGGGGACGACTTCTTAAATTTGCTATTTGGTAGATGCACTTTAAAGGTTGGATACATCCCATCTATGAGCATTCCTTTCAGCAATTTGGTAATGTCATTGCAGGCACCATTGGCTTTACCAAAGTTCTGGCTTGTGCCATCCATACTGTCGGGGGAATTAGTGATGTCACCAGAACGGATTTGCTTCATTGTCCAGGGAACGTCATATCGTCCAACAATGTAGCCAAGCAACTTCAAGTGCCTGTAAGCTTGGAAGGCATCCCAGGAGCACCCATAACTTCCTCTTGCAATCTTTCCATAAATCTCCTCCATTCCAACTGTTTCATCCTTGTCATCGAGAAGAACCAATGCCCCTCTTTCTGCCAAGAACCTGCGTAGTTTGATCATGCAACAAGCCTTAAACTGCAAGTTGAAGTATTTGAAAACAAAAACCATGACATGTGATTCAAGCATAATCTCTAAGCAATGATGTTGCACTGGTGCACTATTTTGAGTGCGACATGATGTAACTTGTAAAAAAAGTGGGTAATAGCCATGCGGTTTCAAATACAAGGAATCCAGGGCATGCTGCAATGTTACAGCATTTCATCAAACAGGTGGCGTACCCGATCTCCTCCACATTGTAGTAGAGCTTGCCGCCCCGTGCTATGCCAGTGGTCAGCCAGAGCTTCCCCTTGTTGTCCAACACCTCTGCCGCACCAGCCTCCTCCACCCACCGCGCCCGCGACGCGACGTTCCTGCACCACAACATATACAACCCGATGAACGATCCAGAAGCGCACCAGCAGCACAAACAGATCAACCACAAGATAGCACACACCTGAACTGGACTCTCGAGGAAGAGGGTGCCGCGTCCGAGAGGAAGGGGTTGAGGTGCTGCTCCTCCCCGTCGTCTTCAGCCGCAGCGGCGGAGGCAGCCCCGGGAGCACGGCTCCTTCTCCGTTGGCCGCGCGCCACGGCCGCCATGAACCACTCCCTGCACGGTTGTACTCCCTTCTCTCACCAAAACTTCAAGGCTAATAGTTGACAAAAATGTCCCATGTTAGCTCTGCCCTGGCCAAAATGCCCTTCTTTCTCCGCAATTGAGCAAATACCCCCCACTTGGCTTTGCCGATTGATAAAATGCGACACATTACTGTTAGAAGGGACATAAAGGATTGGTGGAATCATTGATTTATTGCTTGAGCCTCGTGGGCGTATATATAGGAGTACAGGATCAACTTCGAGTACAAGACAAGCCAGAACATATATCCTAGTCTATCTCAAGCGTCTACTATATATAGGAGTACAGGATCAACTTTTACCACAAACTATCTGTCAAGTGTCTACTATAAGCAAGCATTTTTACCCTGTGACCATCTTTGCAGTATACATAAATCCAGGACATCGATGCTCAGATCAAACTTTGGACCGTCTCCACAAAACTACCGAGGGCCAACAATGCAAAATCCAACCACTCGTTCGTGACGAAATTTGAACTAAAAAAAGTCCCATCCGGGGTAGTGAACTGAAACCACGAGCAGTAACAAAATCGGGGGATAAACCTAACGAGTTGCTGAATCCCACAGCCGGGGATCATCACCACGGCCCTCAGCAACCGTAGGACGGATCAAGCCGGAGACCCGCCCGCGAGCTAGACCACGAACGAGCAGGACAGCTCACGCACAGATGCCCCTGATTCCCAATTCCTAAGGTAGCCGCACCGAATCGACGGCGAATCTGGCTAGAAATGAACGAATTCCGCCTCAGGATCGTCGAGGAACCCGCGCGGGGACCCAATCGGAGAACAGCTCGTCACCCGCAACTACTTCGCTGGATCGGCGCCTACCGCCGACACAAATCCATCGGAAATCGCCACGAGCGGAGAAGATTCGCGCTGAGAAGGGGGGACGTACGGCGCTCACCCGACGAACCGAGCTCGATCGGACGAGCAGAGGAGTCAGCCGCCGCGCCGCGCCGCCGGCCCGCTCAATTTTTTCCGCTCGGCGCCTCCACCTCCTCTCAGGCTGTAGGTGGGAGTGGGTTTAAAGTGGGACTAAGAGCATCTCCACTAGCGCCCCAAGATGCCTCCCTAGGTCACTTTTTGAGCGTCGGCGAGTAAAAAACGTCTCACTCGGACCTTCAAAATCTCACTTTTCGCCGAATTAGACGAAAGATGCCTCTTTAAGCCACTTTTTGAGCGCCGGCGAGTAAAAAACGTCTCACTCGGACTTTCAAGATCTCACTTTTCGCCGGATTAAACGAAAAATACGGCCAGCGCGTATAGACGAAACCCAGCCCCCCGGGAAGCAGCTGGGGACGCCGGCACTCTTATTTTGCATGCAAATTGCCCACTTTCAGTGTCTCAACTGCCTCTCTCTCCTCTCTCTCTCCCTCTCTTTTCTGCAGGCCCACCCACGTGCTCACAGTCCCCCATCCCCCACCCACCGAAGCAGGCGCGCACGAGACGGGACAGGCGCAGCGAGCAGGGCGCCGGAGCTGGGGCACGGGGGGGCGTCACGGCGGGCGGGTGCCGGAGCTCGCGAGGAGGGCGCCGGAGCAGGGAGGCGGGGAGCTCGTCCATGGCGGGGCGCTGGAGCAGGGGGGCGGGGAGCTCGTCCATGGCGCCGGACATGGACGACGAGCGGTCGCGCTGGAACAGCGCCGGACCGCGGCGGGAGGCGGCATCAGAGACGGCCAGGCACAAGAACGGACGCTCCTCCTCGCCTTGACCCCTTCCTCAACCTTGACCCGTCGTCGTAGTCGCACACACCCAACGAGGCCGCCACAAACGGTGCTCCAATCCCGCACACCCTGCATGTTGTGATATGGACATATCTATCATGGATACATCTACGAATATTAGACGACATATTTTTCAGGTGATTTCTATTAAAAATTATTCTATGATTTATTTTGCTTTCCCGAACAAAAAAACTTCACCTATTTTTATTTTATATGTTACTACAGGATATTTCCACAAACCCAGACATATGTGTGCATATACATGTATGTATGCATGTGTTGTGTATGCCTACACTGCGTACACTTTGATGTCCATCCAAATGCTACAACGTGTGCATGCAAGAGGTGGGTCCAAGATCAATTTCTATGAAAGAACCCCGTGCATGCATGCAGGCGCGGCCATGCTAGCGTGGCAAGGTGCATCAGCCAGATGCACAATGACCACATGGGCCCCAGCCCATGCAAGATGCAAGAGACCAGCCACATGGGTTTAGACTCGGGTTTTGTTTAAAGAAGTTTAGCTATTGTTACTTTTATTTGTCTTCGCTCGTAGCGGCTAGTGCGACCGTCAAGACATCTATCGGAACCCCAACTTGTGAGATTTATTCATCTAGCATATCCGCAATTTCAAATTGCTTGGCTATTATTTTCTTGCATGTTCTTCGATTTGCTTGCAGGAAAAATCCTTCGTGGATAGATCGATCGCGCCGTTGGCTCGGTCGATAACGCCGTGGAGTTGGTTCAGCGAGTGCCGTGGATATCAGTCGTGTACGGTTCTTCCTGTATGGTTGGTAGCCGGATCGTGAAGGTCAAGTTCCGTCCAAAATCGTAGTTATTTCCCTCTCATCGAAAGATTGGGCCTCAGTTCACATCAAGTGGTATCAGTTTTCAGGTTCATCGGTGAGAGATTTACAGTTTTATTAAATTAGATTGTTTTCATTCCTACAACCCACAAAAAGGTCAAAAAAATAGATTAGTTCATCCGCTGCACCTACCTTTTTAGCCTTTAGCAATTTGCATCTAGTATTTGCTTTGTTGAATTTTTGGTTGCATTCATCCTAGAATTAGTGTTGGTTTAGATTAATTTGGGAGAAAATCATCTACTAGATCAATCTGTTTTTGTCTACTTTCCCTAATCCGTCCGCCGCCGCGCACCGCGCAAGTCATCGATCTGTCAAGTTATCTGTGCCATCACATCACCGCACGTTCCACCGTTTAGTTTTTCTTTGCCTCCTACATCGTTCTTATATTCTCTTTGGTCACGTCTGTAAAGTAGGCAGCATCATCATTCAATAAACAGGGAGCATCCTCACACGGGTTGTTCTTTGTTTTATCTATTTGCACAAAGTTCCACGACTATCCCTTTGTAACTGTTAGTGTTACATCTGTGTACGTGACTTTTGGTAGTAATCAGCCCGAAAAAAAAAGAGAAAACGAAAAAAAAGGTGAGAGAAAAAAAAGCTAAAGAAAAAGAAAAAAAAGAGAGGAAAAAGTACAGAAAAAAACAGAGAAGAAAAGAAAAGAAAAAAGTTACAGCCGGTTACCACCTTTTGGAATATCTTTCCAAAGACTTTACTTTGATTAGATACGTGGTATTTGCTGAACATTTTCTGCCCTTGGCTACCCTAATCTGCCGTTTATACCTCACTCATATCTAACTACTTAGAGCTATCATCTTTCATCCGTATCGACTCATTTGATTCCGTATCTGGGCTTAGATTGTTTTGTCTCTTACTAGTCGACTGCCAGCACTAGTTAGGAGTTTGAGCAAGTATTCAACTTGCATTGCTTTTTGCTAAATTGTGCCACTGATATTGTGAGTTGAGAAGCCTTTGCCAAGCTACACTGTTTCTACCAATAAGTACAGGTTCCGGCTCTACTGATTCCTGATTATCGCTCCATCCAATCTTCATCGTTAGTTTGAAGCCAACACCAACGCGTCGATCACCACCTGTTGCATTGGTAAGAAGAAGTAAGAATTTGATACTAAGTTTGAGTGTGAGCGAATTTTGTCCACCACATCCTGTTGGTTGATAGGGATTATACATTGTTTTTTTCTCTTTCGCTAACAATGGCACAGGATCAACCCACACTTGAGGGACTCACCGCGGATGTTAAAGTCACCAGCGAGCGTCTCGCCCAACTTGAGGGTGCTCAGATTGTGGCAGAAGAGAGGCTCAAGGCCATCAAGGATGCACAAGGTGTTGCCAACACACAACTACAAGACATCTTGTTACGTTTGGACGAGCTGCGGACTGCACTCCCCGTCAACAACAACGTCGTTCCTCACAATTCCAAGGGTGTTGCCGCTAAAGCTCGACGTGTGCCCATGGGTCATCCACAACACCCAGCTACTGCCACTGATGCTGCAACCATTCCTCCCCGCGTCACTGAGGAACATGGGAACAATTACGAGGATTATGCCAGTGACACCGAGGACGACCGCCACAATGACCGTGCTCATCAACAACTACCTTTCAACCGTCAAGGTATGGCACGAGGTCTACCCAGGTATGATGTTAGAGATTATGAACACTAGTGCCAAAATCAAATTTACTATTCCTGCTTTTAATGGTAAATATAATCCAGATGTTTATCTTGACTGGGAACTTTCTATTGAACAAAAATTTGCACGTCATGATCTTCTTGAGAACCAAAGAGTTAGGGCAACCACTAGTGAATTTACAAACTTTGCTTCCATGTGGTGGAGTGAATATTGTCGTATTAATGCAAATAATATACCTACTACTTGGGATGCTTTAAAACGAGCTATGCGACATCATTATGTTCTTTCATATTATGCTCGTGATAAACTAAATGAATTGCAAAGTTTAAAACAAGGTAGTAGTTCTGTAGAGGATTATTATCAAGAATTACAAACCGGCTTAGTGCGATGTGGATTAGTTGAAACCGATGATGCTATGATGGCTAGATATTTAGGTGGTTTGAATCGTGATATTCAAGATATCTTGGACTATAAGGAGTATAGTTCTATTACTCGTTTGTTTCATTTTGCTTGTAAATCTGAAAGGGAAGTACATGGACGACACAACAAGGGACGAGGTAATTTTTCTGCAGGTCGCCGCTCATCATGGATACCCTCTTCTACTGTTTCATCCAGTACTGAGTCAACGCCACCTATCTTGAACAATGGTGCAAATCCATCAAGTTCAAAATCAGCTCCACAATCATCCGAGGCTTCGAAAGCAATTTCTGTAGCCCCCACCACTTCGTCTGGACGC